TTGTGAACCTATAGATAGAGAAGCGGTTTCTGATGTCGGGACGAGTGTGTGTGTGTCGACATCAGAAACCGAGTGTGTGTGTGTTCAGTGGGATTCAGATAAACCCCACTGAACACACACACACATGCAAATATCTCATCATGGCAGCTCAGAGATCCTCAGTATTAAAGAGGCTGGATTCTTTTCACCTTACAACTAGCCTCAGATGGCATGTATACTGTACAAATGCAACTAAACGAAAACCACTTTCAAATACCATGGTATTTACAAGCTACTTGAAAGAAAACCATGTTACTGCCAATGTCCAAAAAACATGCTATTACTATAGACCTAACACCATGGTACTGAATAATTATCACCTTTATTTACCATGGTATTTCAAAGAATACCATTTCCCATTGGATAGACTGTTCTTTTGTGGTCCAATCAGAGTATCAGATGGAAATGCCATGGTATTTTTGATATATATATACCCTAGTGCTGAATATTTACATATGCATACTTGGCTAAAATCCACAGTATTACCATGTTACATGTCTAGAAAACATGGTATTACTACAGCATATTGTACAGAAAAACATGGTAATGCCATGTTGACATATGGTACATATTCATTTACCATGGTACGCCAAAGAATACCACTCCTCATTGGTTAGACTGCCCTTAAGTGGTCCATTCAGAGAATAACAGTAGTAATACCATGATATTTTGGATATATACCATAGTACTTAATGTTTACCATATTCATATACCATGTTACTTCAAGGCAATTCAAAGAATGACTAGTGCTACCCCAAAAATGGCCAAAAACCATTATATTGCAATGGTACATGTCCAGAAAATGTGGTATTAGTATAATACATGTTTAATAACACATTAATACCATAGTACATTGATATATACCATGGTACTGAATGAATAATATGGTATTCCAAAGAATACCACTTCCCATTGGTTACAATGTCCTTAGTAATGAGAGTATCAGATAGTAATACCATGGTATTTTGACATATATCATAGTGCTGAATGTTTACCTTATGCATTCAAGACACTTCAAAGAATACCATGGTACTATACTATAGTACGCTTACAAAAACACACTATAATACCATTGTACTGAATGATTACCATGGTATTTCAAAGAATACCACTCCCCACTGGTTACACAGTCTATATATGGTCCAATCAGATCTTACATCATGGTATATTTGATCTATAACATAGTACTGAATGTTTACCATATTCAAATGCAGGGATGGATTACTGACTGGGCCAATGGGGCCAGTGCCCAGGGGCCCTTGACTACCAGGAGCCCGGGGGGGTCCTGGGCTTTAATGTTGCGCGATCCAGTTTGGTACGAAAAACCCATCAACAATCAAAACATATGTTTATTTATGCTTGAATATATGTGTCCTTTAGCCTATACAATGCCTCTTGAACAAGGCTTTTGGTCTGTGAGGGCTCTCAGGCACTCCTGTTACTATTGGGCCCTGTAAATATGAAGGCCTACAAATCTTTTATAGAACCAGGACTGTAGTTCGGGTATCAGGGGCCCAATGCAGGTTGTTGCTGTGGGCCCCCTTGAAAACGTGTTCCGGAAGGAGAGACCCTTCAAGCCCGGGGCCCTTAGAAATGTCACCACCTTTTGCCCCGCTGGCGACAGCCCTGTGTAGAATCATTGTCTGTCCCATACGGTTTCAAATTATATTTATTTGAACCACTCTTTGAGCTTCTTTCTTTCTGTAAAGGGTATAGGATTAAGTACTATTTGTCAGAATCAGAAAGAGATTTATTGCTATTGCACACACAAGGAATTTGTTTTGGTGACAGAAAAAGCTTATAGTGCAGACTCTGAGACAACAACAGTACACAGATAGTAAAATTAAAAATAAAGATATGTGAATAAGGGGGGCATAGAGAGAGCAATTGTGTCTGTTTTAGCATAGTAAAGATTTAAAATTTTGGCTAAACTCACTTGGGGGCCACAGAACGCGTTTTTCCATTCCAATGCGCTACTTTTACATTGTTTTTCTATGTAAACAAGCGCTAGACAGACGTGTATACCCGTTGCGCTCGCGTCTTGCAGTCTTTTGCAGTGTCTCGCGCATGACACGGCGTTCTAAAAACTTTAAAACTTGACCTAAAATGCGTTTTACCCCCATTCCACTCCTCGTGTCTCGCATTTTTTCAAAGTAAAAACATTCTGTGTGAAGTTTTTTTTTTTTTACTATGATCAAACAATAATGTAGACTGTTATTGTCAAATGAGTCCTTAAAAACGAATTAGTTAATTCTGGGCAAAAAGGCTCTTTTTTTTGTCGTTCCAAACCCGTAAGACCTTCGTTCATTTTCGGAACATCAAAGCCGTGCTGTATCATGAATAAAACACAGCTGCTGACCAATCATAATCGAGGAATGGAACAAACCGTTTTATTAAAATTAATATAGGCTAGGAAGCCTATTTAGTCATAAATAAGCGCAGTTTATATATAAGCTACCTTTTTATTCTTCCTGTTTAACATTTATTAGTCTCCAGGTTGAAATAAAAGGATGCTTAATGTTATGGGAAAAAAAATAGAAATCAGAGCTTATTCTGGATTTTTACAGAATTCAGTTTCACTTTTTTCCGTCTGCAAAATGAATAGCCTAAAAACAATTAACTTGCAATGTGTTAACTTATAGCCTATTACAAAAAAAAAACACTAAAAATAAGATGTGTTTGACAAAATCAGAAAAATAAGGCTGAATGATGTTTGACAGCCGAGGGGATGCATCTCCAGAGCATAGACAGTCGCCGGCGCCGCCAGTCGCAAATATTAAACATGTTTAATACAATCTTTGTGAGGACGACTGGCTACAGCTGGTTTTTAAATTCTACGACTAGAATCTTTAGACCGACTGTAAACAACACCAATTATTAATCTGAATTTACAATCAACTTTTCCAAACGTGTACATTGCGTTAACAGTTTTTCTAACACTGCCGGTTACGAATTGCGAGGGAGAGCGCTCATTTTCTAAAAGGTCTCGAGTTAAAAACGAACTGAGAACGAGAATGTGCCAAGAACGTCTCAACCCTCTGTCGCTCGTGGCCATTGAGTCCGAACTCTTAAAAGAGCTCAGTTTCGATGAAGTGGTGGATGACTTTGCGAAGAGGAAGACAAGAAAGAGACTCCTGTAAGAAATTGTTTCTGTAACCATGCTGGTTTGTATAATTGTCAGGACCTGCAAAAAAATGTTTGTAATTGTGTGTGTTTTTTTTTTTAATTGCATTTTCTTATACGTAATGATCTGATGTTTAAACTTTATATGTGATGTTTGTCACAGAGTTGTTTAGTGACAAATCATTTTTTGATTCATGATGCATTAAATATGTGTATATTTGATTTGACAGTTAATTAATTAAAGACGTGTTTCATACGCCTCAATTTGCCGCATTGTTGATTATTCATTGTAGCTATTAGACTTGTAGAGAGAAAAATATCAGAAAAGTGTATTAATCCTATATTGATTCTGTAAACCCTGTACAATGTGCTTTTATAGCGCAGGCATTTGACGCGGAGTAACGGTTTGAATATTCATGATCGTAACTTCCACTTTCTGTTACTGTGAATGCACAGCTAAGGGAAAGAACGGAAAAAAAACTGGTATGGTGGGGTGGGGGGCCTTGGAGATAATTGGCCCCGGGGCCTCGGCAAGTCATAATCCGTCCCTGCCTGAACCGCAACAAAACCCTGTGCCAATATGCATTAAAAAGTGATGCATGCACAAATGAATGC